CATATGAAATTTCCTAAATTCTCAAGAAAGGAGTGTAGATGTATTGGGGATATCAATATATTGGAGAAAGGTTAGGATCAGAATAGCAATAGGTATAGTACAGAGATATATTGGGGAGAGATCATGTCAGGGACCTCAGGTATAATCCGAAGGAGCTCAACTAACACAGAGAGCAAAAACAATTAGCCCCTCTTAACCAGTGCCAGCTAACAAATGACCAGACTGGCTGACCTATATCAAAGTAGGAACAGGTGATGAATTCTCCCAAAGAATGTGTTAAAATGTGGTGAGTGCTCTAAGACAATGGGAAACTAGAGACCAAATTTGACATTTGTAACAAGATAAGAACTTAGGTCTGTACCTTTAAGTTCAGTATTTACCTTCCAGTTCTTCTACACTGCTAATTATTTGGATTGCATTCAGTTGCTGTGCACCATAAGATAGTGTTTTTATTTTGGATTTCCTTTTTTTTTCACATCAATTATACAATACTTATGCTATTATCCATGTAATTCTCTCTTGAAATCTGGTATCGTTAAAAGACAAAATGATAAGGATTTTTTTGCTTTTCTTTTCCAGGGATGTTCTATGTGGAAAATTAGCTTGTATTTGGCCACATGAGAAGACTTACAAACGTGATGCTAAATCTACAGTTTATTCATATGTTCAAGATCATGTATGCATATCCTTAACCAATGGGTCTTCAGTGAGCTCAGATGGAAGGGACTATGCTTTTGTGGCTGATGGCACTGTGTGTGGTCCACATATGGTAATAAAACATTATTTTATCTTTAATTGTGTTAGATTATGTTAATGATAAGATACTATATTCCATGATGATGATTAAAATCATAATGCATGTATTTGAACTTGGTACTACTACTTATTTCCCATATGAAAAGATGATTTAAACTAAATTTCATATATCCAAGTATATTGTTTAACCTGTCACAGTTCCTAATGTTTGAAGTTATGTATGTCTTTTAAGCATAAATTTCCACTTACTGACAGAAGACATTTCTTTTTTAGATCTTTGAAATCTGATAGTGTTAAATCACAAAATGCTAATATTGAGTTTTCATTTGTTATTGTTTCATGAGCTTATATGTCTAAAGTCATCTGCTTATATGTCTGACTGAAAGATACCTATAAGAAGACTGAAAGAACAAAACAATAAATTGGTATTAGGAAAGTATGGCTATAGTGCATGTACATATTCATATACATATGTATTTTTGTATACATATGAGTACTTATCCTCATGTAGTCATAAAATAGAGTGAGGACAAAAATCTTTCAGAGCTTAATTAGTTAATACAGAAGTATGAGGGCAAACATTCCAGAAAAGACAATAATAGTAGGCATCTGAGATTTAAAGCAGCAATCGTAAATCAGTGTCTTGCATTTCCGTATCATTAAGCACTTACTTGTTTAATTAATAATAAACACAAAAAAACTGAAAGGGTGAAGCAATTAGCAAATTGCTAATTAGCCAATCTGGAGTTAGAAATCCTAATCCCTTAGAAGTTTTGCTTCCTGTGGTAGCCTGCGTCTAAAGTGGCTTCCAATGGTCCCACTTCCTGGTATTCAGTCTTATACATAATCCACCCTTTGTGTGTGAGTTGAGCCTAGTGATTTGCCTCTAACAAATGGAATTCAGCAAAACATATGGAACATCACTTCCAAGATTGTCAAAAGAGAGTGGGACTACTGTTTCCCATGTACTCTCACTTACTTTGTTGAAACAAGATGCCTTGACTGAGAAGCCCACAAGGAAGGTAATTTTGGGCCAGTAGGAAAATGAGGCTCTCAATCTAAATGCATGAGAATAACTGAATTCTATCAAAAACTACAAATGAACTATGAAGTGGCTCTTTCCCAGTCAAGCTTTCAGATGAGACTGCAGTCCTGGCTGACATCGAGATTACATCTTTGAAGAACAGAACTGAACTAAGATATGCCTGGATTCCTGCCTCTTAGAAACTATAGCAAAATAAATATGTGTAGTTTTAAGGCACTAAGTTTTGGAATAATTTCATATGCATCTGTCAATAAATAGTATATAGATGCAAGTACCTAGAAATGTGGTGCTGCTATAACAAATACCTGAAAATGTAGAACCAGAATATGGATGGAGGTTGAAAGAATTTTGAGGACTATGATAGAGAAAGCTCATATTGTCTGGAACAGACTGCTAGTAGAATTCTGGACTTTGAGGACATTGCTGGTGAGCATTCAAAAGGTAATGAAGAACTTATGAAGTTGGAGCAGAGTCCTTTTACTTAGTGGCAGAAAATTCAGCAACATTGCTATTTGTTTGTTGTTGTTATGTGCCAGTGAGTCGGATCCAACTCACAGCAACCCCTCCTTGGGTTTCCAAGGCAGTATCACTATGGAAGTAGATTGCCCAACCTTCTTCCAAGGAGTGGCTGGTGGGTTTGGACTGCAGCCTTCTGGTTAGTAGTCAAGTGCCTTAGGTACTATGCTACCAGGGCTCCTAACAACATTAGACCTACAAAATTCTAGTGATAAGAATCAGGCTGATAGAATTGCTCTACTGCAAACATTGTGCTGCCTTTCATGAATAAATAGAGGATGAACTGACAGCCAACATGGCAAAATCAAGAGCCCAAATGGATTTCTCAAGGCCTTGAAACCAAATCAAGTAACTCCCAATATTCCCTCTGCTTGATTACAGAAATACTACAAATCATTTTTTTTTTTTAATCTCCTTTTTCTCTCATTGGGAATAAGAATTTCTACAGAAATTACCCTATTTGTCTTTGATTTCACAGATCTACAAATGTAGCATCTGCATTCAAAGAAGTATACTACAGGAGCATAATCCATAACTGGAATTAATTTATATGAAGAGATTCTATATTGTGAACTCATGCTATAATGTGTTGAGACTTTCACTAACATGTGAGAGGATGTGTGACATTAGAGAACATAGAGTGGATTGCAGGAGTCGGCTTATAAAGTGACTCCCAATGATCTCACCACCTCATATTCATTCACTATCCCATACCCTCCCTTTGGGGATGTGCCTAATAACTTGATTCAAACAAATAGAATGTGGCAAAAGTGATGGAATGTCACTTCCAAAATTAGATTATAGAAGACGTTAACTTCTATTTTGCTTGCATTCTTTCTCTTGCCTTCTTGAATTGCTTGATTTGATAGAAGAAACTGCCATGTTGGAGAGACATACTTAAAAAGAAATGGAGGATGGCCTCCAGCCAATAGTCATTCCAGAAATTGAAACATGCCCACAAACATATGACTAGTTTCGGAATGCTGACTTCCCTGATTAAAGCCTTTATATGAAACTGGTGGACACTTTAATGCCAGCTTTGTGAGAAATCCTCAAGAAAGGACCTGGCTATGCCATGCCAAGAATTTCTTGCCCACAGAAACTGAAATAGTAAATATGTGTTGTTTTATTCCCCTAGGATAAATGCCCAAGAGTGCAATTTCTGGCTTGCATGATAAGTACTTGTTTGATTTATAAGAAACTTCTATAATCTTTTCCAAACTGGTGGCAACAATTTATTTTCATCAGAAATGCATTAGTGATTAGTTTCTACAAATTCCCATCAGCAATTGGTGTTGCCATTATTATATATTTTTTTAAAATTTTAGCCATGTAATAGACATTACTTTAAGATTTCCATTTTTATTACTCAGGGGATGTGATGGTTATGTTTGTATGTCAACTTGGCTAGGCCTGGTTGAGTGGCTGGGCAGCTGGATGTGGTATTCCCCATGATGAGACTGTTAATCAACTCCATGGTGCAATCTACTGTGAGCAGCTGAGTAGCTGCCTTTGGGTATGTGATCTACATCCTATATATAAGGAGAAGTTTGGGAATGGTCTCTAGCCTTTAGCACACTTGGACCCTGCATGTAGCCATGTCATTGCTCAGCAGGCTGCTATGCTCTGCCGACCTTGGGACTTAAAATGGACTTAAGTTAATGGCCTGTCATGTGGTTTGGTAACATCGGGACTGTGCCTTTTTACTTGTCAACCTTTTGGCTTCTCAGTCTCAGCAGCCAACAGCTGTCTGAGTGAAGAAAAACCTCTAGCTCCAGTGGGCCAGGAGCAGGAGGCAGAGCTGGACCCCAAGGTTTAGGGGCTTTCACCAAGCTCCTAGAGCTTGGCACTTTGAACTTGGACTTAAAGCCTCCAAATTGTAAGAATAAACTCCTGTTTGTTAAAGCCATCCTATTTGTGGTATATTTCTTGTCAGAGAGGCACTAGGTAACCAGAACAGGTGGTATACTTTGTTGAACATGTTTTCATTTCCTTATTTACCAACAGTGTATGCTCCTCAAAGAAATGTCTATTTATATCTTTTGGCTTTTTATAATAGAATATTTTTTTAATATTGAGCTTTGAGAGTTCTTTTCATATCTTAGATGCAAATTCTTTTACAGATATATTGTTTGCAAAGATTTTCTCCTATTGTGTAGCTGTTATTTTCATCCTTTTCAGAGTCTTTCACACAGCAGTTTATATATATATATATATACATGTATATATATACATGTATATATATACATGTATATATATATGTAAATATATATATGCACACACACACACACACACACACACACACATATATATATACACATGTTGTTGTTGTTGTTGTTATGTGCCGTCGAGTCGGACCTGACTCATAGCGACCCCTCCTTGGGTTTCCGAGGCAGTATCACTATGGAAGTAGATTGCCCCATCTTCCTTCCGAGGAGTGGCCGGTGGGTTTGAACCACCAGCCTTCTGGTTAGCAGTCAAGTGCCTTAGCCACTACGCTACCAGAGCTCCCATATATATATACATATATGTGTGTGTGTGTGTGTGTGTAGTGATAGGATAATATCTATATGCCTACAAGGAACTTAATAAGATTATTATTCAAATTGATGCACCAACCACTAAAGCCAAAGATAAAGAAATTAAAGATTTTTACCAAATAATGCAGTCTGGAATTGACCAAACATTCAATAATGATGTATTGATTATTACTGTTGATTGGAATGTGAAAGTTGGAAATAAAGAAGAATCACTGGTATTTGGAAAATATGGCCTTGCTGACAGAAATGACACCAGAGATCACCAGATGATAGAATTTTGTACCATCAATGATTTATTCATTCCCAGTACCTTTTTTTTCAACAATATTAACAGTGGCACCTAACCAGATAGAATACTCAGGAATCAGATCCGCTACATCTGTGGAAAGAGGTGAAGGAGAAGCTCAGTATCTTCAGCCAAAGGAAGTCGAGGAGCTGACTGTGGAACCGACCATCAATTACTCATAGGCAAGATCAAGGTGAAGCTCAAGAAAATTAAAACAAGTCCACAAAATCAAAAATATGACCTTGAGTATATCCTAACTGAATTTAGAGACCACCTAAAGGGAAGATTTGATGTATTGAAAACCAGTGACCAAAAGTGGACAAGTTGTGGGATGACATAAGTGCAAGCTGGATTCAGAAGAGGATGTGGAACAAGAGATGTCATTGCTAATATCAGATGGATCTTGGCTGAAGGCAAAGAACACCAGAAAGATTATTCCTTGTGTTTTATTGACCATGCAAAAAGGCATTTGACTGTATGGACCATAATATTTATGGATAATATTGCAAAGAATGGGATTCCCAGAGCACTTAATTGTGTTCAGGAGGAACCTGTACATAGACTTTCATTTCATCTGAGCAGAGCAAGGAGCTACTGCATGGTTAAAAATTACAAGGGTGTGCATC